GGAAGCCAGAAACCATTGCAGAAAACTGTAGATAAGCCAGTAATTGCCCTAATACCTATCTTTCCCCTTTTATATCAGTGTTTAGATTAAATTCTGCAATGGAGTGAAGGCAAGATCACCTTGACTGAACATCTAAACCAGCTTTAAATTTATAAGTTATAATTAAATAGAAAATGACATTACTACATGAATGACTTATTCTTGTCCCTGAACGGACACAGGCATAAAGTTCCACAAATTGTTCGTTTTATAGTTGAGAATGCTGATCTGTTGTCTAGCCTCTTTGGTTTTTAACAACAAAAGCATTTTTTTTCTAGGAAAAGTATCTAATTTTAAATGCTAGCAGACAAGCCTAAAGAAGTTACTTGAAACTTCTGAGTGCCATGAAGCAGACAGATGGGGTTCTCCACTTTTTTTTTTTGTACTACAGTAACTGTGTTAGCCATTCTCTCTCGATAGTAAACTTAAAAGCACACAGTAAACCTTTAATGCTGTTGGAGAGGTAACAAACCCAGCCCCCTTCCTCAGCAACCTTGTCACATAATCTGAATTTTAGCAACAAACCTCATTCTCTGGGATGTTAACTCTCTGCAGCATCTGTCACTGCTATGAATGGTTGATCATAAGTACCTCTGTAGTCATCTCAATGCTATTAAGCAGATGGCAGCGCTAAATCCGAATGATGTAGTACATCTCCCTGGTGGACTTTGTTTCCATACACTACCATTATTCTACAATTCCTCGGCGATAAATCTTAGGTATTCTTGAGAACATTAAACAGTGAACTGACAGTGACAACTGATTTATTAGTGTCCATTTCCCTCTGCCCTATTATTGTCTTCGTAAACACTTGTGCAGATCATGTATGGAGCCACTAAGGGACAAAAGCACTTTTGCTCAATTTGAAACATATTTCAGACGTTTAAAATAAATACATTTTCTTCATGCTAGAAATGTTTAAACTGATCTATAAATTTAAACGAAGACCCAACTAAACGGTCCCGATTCCGCCACAATATTATTTTCTGAATTTTCATAGTAAAATTGGTCTAGCGTTACATTCGGTTATTAAAACACCCACTACTTTCTGCAATAAATCCAAGTAAAGAATTACAGTTCTAGACAGATTTGGGGAAGTCCTTTACAAGTTGGCTAGGTTGCGTAAGGACGCATGCATGCTGGTGAGGGAAGCTGACAAGTCTACAGGCATCTGACAAAGGCAAGTATCAGCAGCAGGAGTCACAACAATGGTTTTTCACACTTGGAATTCACATTCTAGCATAAGATCCCAAAAAGGGTTTTGGCATACAACTGCACATGTTAAATTACTGCATATGTATACGGAAGAAATTTTATGAAGGAATTACTAACTGCATAATGTGAAATCTGCCCTGCGTGACAGTAACATTCAGCCTAGTCTTGCTGTTCTCCTTAGATAAGCATTGAGTATCAACCATAAATGATCAGATTTTGACAGTATGCATTATGCTTTATTAAGGTAAAAGCATCTCAGCTGCTTCAAGTGTTCACTAGCCTCTGCTTTTTAGAAATGGAGAGATATTCTGTTAATTTGAGGTTGGTTTTTATTTTTTATAACAATACTGAACACCCCAACTGATTAGCTATCCCAGTTTATACTGGTAAAAATATTATCTAATCATCCTGTGCAAGAAATACACATATAATTTAGTCACATATCTTTTAAAAATCAGTTAAGATATCTAGTCAAGCTCAGTACAGCTCCAAGGGGTGGTTTTTTATGTCTTTTTGACCATAAAAAATAATTCAGTTAAAGACATCCTGAAGCACTATTTGAGGCTTTGTCGCACGAACAACTTCGGATAAGAAAGTATTTTAAAGGAAAACAATTTTTTATAGGATTACAGGGCATTAAGATAGATGAGAACTTTGAGAAAACTGATGTTTCTCTACCTAATAGTGCTGTGACAGGTTTTAACTAAAGCTTCAGATTGCCAAACACAGCAAGGACACGGTTTCACACAATGTCAAATAAAATGCCATTAAACTTATAAACACACATGATTTAGTACCAGCAAGCAGTTCAGTTATAGAAAGGAATTGTATGCAGAGGCATGCAAAGTCTCAGCTACCTTAATGCACACAGAAATACACAGTATGCTATTCTTCATATCTGAACATATCACCCATCCTAGCCAATGTCAGATTTGGCCATTTCTGGGAAATACACTAGAAACATCAAAATTAAAAACTATTAGTAAAGTGGACTCATACCGTTGCGTACTGAATGGTCAAATTTTGAGAATGTACTCCTGCACACCTATCAAAAATATGTCATTGTACAACATCTTGTACATCAACAGTTCTAGATACTTCCAATTCTATTGCAAGTTTCCATCTCTAACAGAAATCATTAAAATAAGCAAAAGCTTTAAAAAAACCCCTACTACCTTCAACTGTCTCCACTGGATCACACAGTGTACACCTGAACATTAAGTTTGGCAAGGTACAGGAAAAGAGTTCATGTACTGAAGAACTACTGAAAATAATTTATGAGCAAACCTATCTTTTTAGTTTAGTCGCTATTTCTCAAATTTGCTCTTTAATACAGAATATCATTAGAATCACAATCTCCTAGAGAAATTAACATCAGAAAGCATACTTGAAATACCATTGTTTTAAGATTACTTCTTTCAAATTGTGAAAGTAAAGAGAAAAGTTTAGACATGCTAATGTCTAAATGATGGAGTTGCACATAGAGGGCATTCACGTGTTTAAAGTGCATTTTTGTTCCATGCTTTATGAGGCCAAAAATATTAAGAATGATGTAAGGCTAAGCTATGAAAACAATACACTTTCCTCTAATTTCCTTCATAGTAAAGGCATTACAATGCACCTAGATACAGTAAGTATCTCTTAATGGTTATAAAATGGCATCTTACAATATGGACCACTATGTGATATTCACATTAAAGATAGGAACGCTGTTCTAGGTAGGTCAGATGGCTATTTACAGTTATTACTTTTTGCCTGCCAATACATTCCTAAAAATCTTTTTTGCCAAGCCAGAAAATATGCCAGAAAATGACTGTCAATACCCCATGAGAAACAAACAAGTGAATCATTTCTTGTTTTCTTTTACTATGCAGCACTTAATGAAATTAGGAGAAAAAAGTGAAACAATCATTCAGAAGATAATGAACTCAGAATGTAACAGTGTATCTATTGTGAAATTACAGTTAAAATATGGAGTAGAGCAATCATTTTACGAAGTATCACCTTCCAGACAGTTACTCATGTGTACATACTGTATCTATAAATATTATACATATTCTTATGCGTAAGTCCTATACAAGAACAATTTGATTTCTTGGGAGATTTGCTTTTTGCTAATTTTAGATCAAAAGAAAAAAAAAACAGTGAAAACTTTATTAACATGGAAAAAAATAAAATCCAAGTAATGTTTAGTTTTGGCTCAGGCAAATGACTTTGTAATGAAGTCCAAATGTTTGTGTGCAATAAACCCATTTACCAGCACTAGAAGCAGTAAAACAGAACAGAATTACCAACATAAAAGTTGAAGACTATTTTGGTAATTTCTCTTTGGAAAAAATTCCATTACCAGCAGCTGCTCTCTAAGTGTAACATTGTATAGAGCTTCATATTCTGGAGGTCCTGTGCTGCTGATTTCTTAATTCATATTTTGTTTTAATCAATTTTCAGTAGCTTACAAGACTCTGTAGGAGTGAAGCATCAAAAGCATTTTCATTCTGCTAGTTCTTAACAATAATGAACTTTCCATTAGATTTTTTTCATATTGACTAAGTTATTGGGCATAGGAAAGCATTCATTTATACAACAAAATTTAAGCTGGGTGTGTCAACACTACAGCAAAGCAGATGTCAGGTGTAAAAATCTTTGTTTTCAACTTCACTGTGAACAGTTCTGTACTATTTCAGATAAGGCTACATTGTAAAGGTAAAATAGTCTAAGCAGTATCTTATCAGCATCAGAGTATCCACCAATAGCTCCCTTTCCTGTCATCTTCCCAGAAGGCAAGGTTTGAAGTTCACATCACCCCAGATAACCAGTCATGAAGACCTATAGCATTATCATGTTCTCAACATTCTTGTTTGAACCATTTCAAGTTTATTGCCATAAAAGTTTAAAGAAATTAGCAATGTCATTACAAAATCTACCACTGATCAAACTATGAATACTTGGTCTAAGAGTGACAGTATATTACAACTCAGTGACAGATGCACAGAAGCTCCCTTTCCAGACATGCACGGTAGAAGTACCTAATAATGGGGACAATCAAACAAGCTGCCAACTAATGTGTCAGCATGATATTTGCCATTAAGTTCAAACTACCACCTAATAAAAGTAGTTTGTACTTCATGGCATTTTTTCCATCACTGGGACATATTAGTACTCTTTGTAATTCACAGAGTTTCCAAACAGTGAGTCCTTTGAAAAAAGCAAAATTTAATGAAAATACATCAGAAGTGCTTAAAAATACTGTTGAGAATAAAGTGGGGGAAGGATGACGAGTGGCAAAAATCCAAATTTGTCACAGACAATTCCACAAAGAAATAAAAGAAACTAAAGAGTGTACTTTTACAACCAAGTAAAGGTAAAATACTGGCATATAAACATGTTAAAGTAGTAAGAAAATTCAATCAGCTCTGTCTCAGATCATTGAATAACTTTTATAAAGTTATTTCTACTCTTCTTCCTTCCCTGCCTCCCTCCCAAAATGAATCTGAATTAAGTTTTCCTGAACTTTTGAAAACTTTGATTTATGATTTGGCATCACTGAAACCCTTTGTTTCAAGTTCCCATTATTGTTTCCTTTCAACCACTCAGTAACTTGACTTCTATACTTCTGAGGGTTATTTCTAATAAGCCTCTTATAACACTTTTGTTGTTTAAGATGAAATTGAAAAAGTCTTTAAATAGAACTATTTTTCCAACTGTAGAATATTTCAAATTTAGTTGCAGCAGATAGGGAGACTGACCTTTGTGCTTGAGTGCTATAGCTGTTATCATAGGAATCATAGCTTTGTTCATCGTAAGCAGTTCCATAACCATCATCATATTCCTGAAATGACAAAAAAAAAAAAAGTAGGTGATATTAACAGTAAGCACACTCCAGAAACAAAGTAGTAACCTAGTTCTAAATACAAAAGTCAATAGTCTGTTGAAACACATATGACATACACCATGAAACGGCAGAACCTTAACAATATTAGAGACTACATTCTTGTAGGAGACTACACATATATGAGACTAATTACTTTAAAGATATTTTCAACTATTGTGCTTTGAAAAGTTTTTTTTAGTTAACACTGGCTTGTGCAGAAACAGTACAAAAGCTTTATGTCTCCATGTACTCTGAGATGAGTGAGCCACTGATCTTCAAGAATCTGGGAAGCATCTCTGGAATCAAAACATCTGAATAAATGTCATGCAACTGACTTAGGCAGCTTACTTATTTCTGGACAAGTTTAATATTCTACACAGAATACAGATGGGAAAAATCCATAAAGGAGACTAGTAAGAATGATGGTTTTACCTCTTTGAATGCCCTCTGTATGCTCTTCAATTCGTGGGAGTTTAGCATTAAGTATTTTCTTACTCCTTCCACATTACCCACAATATATAAGTATACACTGTAGTAGTAACACTCTTAAAAAATTACTGGATTTAAGTACCAAACTGAACAATGCACTAACTCCAGCTAGAAGTTTAAGATAAAAATGAAGTGACAATGATGCTGTGTTTTCCCAGAGAAGGGTGAGAAATCCAAGAGAACTGTAAGCAATTTATTGTTTTATCCAGTAATAAACAAGTTAAACACATGAAAAGTAGAAATGGCACTTCCTTTGTACCGATTCTTAGGAAATCCTAATATCCAAATGATATCTAAATATGCTAAAGACCTTGATGGATATTTAGGGGTAAGCTCTCCATTTTTGACAGATGCAAATGACAATGAGAAGACACTTTGAAGATATAACGACCCAGAAAAATTAAAATCTGGTATTATCTTATATATGGTATTTTCTGAGTAAGTGTGTATCAAACCTTGGCAACATAATGATAAAGTCTCATGAAAAAACAAACTTTCCCAGGAAGAGGAACCTGTAAGAATCCTTCACCAATGACAGAAAACAAAACCAACTAGCAGTATCAATTAGGTAGGTATGGCAGATGATGGACTGTCCAACTGCAGTAGAAAACACCTCCAATGACAGGAACCTGACAGCTTTTTATACACTGTAAGGAAAGCTATCTATAGCAGAATCCAATGCCATCCTCAAAAACTACTGATGGGAAACTGAATTTGCTGAGAAAGTTTTTAGCATTTTTTCCAGCCATTTGAAACTGCTGATAAGGAAAACCAGGCAATCTGCCCATCAATACTGCTTAACCACCACTAGAAGAGTGAACGTGATTAGTAGAAGGGTGCCTATGAATATTTACCAGCACAAATGAGTGACAGCCTATTCCTGTGTCTGGAAGAAACAAGGATTCTGTTGCAAAGAGATCCATGGATAAAGAATCTCACTTGAAAAGGAATTGCATTGTTTTCTGTCAGTAATTCACTGTCCTGAAACTAAAAATTAGAGTCTTAGCATTTTCTTTGTCCATCTGATATGGATTTTTCTTGATAAACCACACACTAAACCCACAAAACCATTGCCTCCTGGCAGTTATTATGAAGAAGCACTTTATTACTTATTGATGCAATACACAGACTTCTGTTAACAATACAGACATTGATCAACAGCAGAAGCTGTCTGAGACAACTTATTTGCCCTGTTCCAGAACATTTACATGACATTTGGTCTCCTCTTTTAGAATCTCCCAACTGTGAACCAACCACCCCTAAGAGGAGCTCCTGAACTTCAAACCATGCACAGCCAGCTGAGACACCAAATGAAAGCAGAGGGCTGAAATTAACCTTTTAACATGTTAATGCTTTGTCACTAAGGAATAATTGAATAATTCTTAAGTAATCAGTCCTATTCTTCACATTTATGTTAACTACTAAAAAAACTGATCATGAAAGAAAAGGGGAGAACAGACTGCTCTGACGTTCTAGTGTATCTACGTCTCCTTGAATACAAAGAAACAAAGTAAATTTGAAATAAGAGGACCCTTAACAAGATGTCCAGCAGAACAAAGGGAAAATATTGTGGAGGACCACGCTGTATCAGACTTAAGTGTTTCTAATATTACCAGTTCCCTTCCAGAGAAATTTTACCCAGAACTCAATACTGTTCACCATTTTGTGACCTGCGAAAATTAAGCACCGATTGAAGGTGGCTCTTCTAATCTTTGAATAGAAAGATATATGCTTTGTAGTTTGTGGGTCTCCTGTCACTTAGCATTAAAAAGATCAACCTGTGCTGGTGCAATTACTATAATCTGCTTAAATAGATCAATTTTTCATTTTTACTGCTGCATTTACATTTATAAACCCAAAAATTTACATTAAAAGCAAGATAAACTTCACATGCAACATGCTGCTAAAATAGAATACGTTTATAAAGCTGCTCAATGGCTTGTTCTGTTAAGCGATAAGAGATTAAAATTCCAAAACATTTGTTTACTGCGCACTAGTCCCTTGAAGTAGCAATTAGGCTGGGGCACCTGAAGTATGTTTCATAGTTTTCCTTGAATTAGGTCTGACAGTATTTTCTTAGTCATGCAATATTTGAAAAATCTTCTTTTAGGAGGTTACAAATAAGGTTGGCCAAGGCAGAATGTTTTACATTTTAGACTAAATCCACACTACTTGAGTGTTTTTCTGTCACAGACCTCTTCTGGCTTCAATAAATATTTTTTTAACTTAATTTAGTATCTAGGTGAAATATCCTTGGCCATCTGGCATGCTTCAGTACAATAATATATCATGCTAATTGAATAGAAGTAATAGTTATTTTCACACATATAATGGGAGTGGACCGTAGGGGTCTGGGCTGCATTAGATGGAGCTAATGCAGAAAGCATGCAGATAGGGATACAAAGCTGATGTGAGGGGAAAAGAATGTAGATTGAAACATACAAGGTGGAAGGAAAAGTCAGGGAAAAGAATGTGGATGGGAAAATACAGGGCTGAAGACAAAGTTATCAACAGATAGCAAAAGAATGAACATCTGTGGTCAGAAAAGAAGGAGCAGCTGTGGCCAGCAGAAGTGTACCAGTTTGTGCAGAACAAAGATATAGATAAAAAGTTTTGGCAAGTTTGGGGCTTTATTTACATAAATATAATTTATCAGTGTAAATGCTTGTAGAAGCTTCTGAACAATGCATGCAACCTATCAGAGAACAGATAACCATGCGTGTACAGAACTCAGAATACTGTAAAATGTAACCAGAATCTGAGAATATAGGAACGATCTGATCATCATATTGGTGTTGTGTTGTTCCTGGTTCCACATGAGAAGATAAAGACCCTGGCAGGGGTGGAAAACAACCCCGGCAGTGAACAGAGCAGAACTTAAATATGCACAGACATCTTGTATAAACTATTCACTGACAATCATTGCTATACCAATTTATTTCCATATAGTACAGGAAGAATTACACTTTCATAAGAATATTTTAATTGCATTTTTTCTGCTGATTTTTCAGCATATTTCAGGTATTTATAAAAGCATTAATTTTTTTTTTTTTTATGTAAAGATATTATTCTTCATGTGGATGACAGCATTTGTGTTCCTACTACCTACCAATGCAATACAATGCACTTCCCTCTCAATTCCAATTAGTAAGTCTATAAAAAGCTCTTCCCATAGGTACTCTGTAATCAGAAAGAGTTTTCAGGTGAAGTCCTATTTCCTCTCCCACTGCAAAAAAACAAAAGCCTGAACAAGATCATATTTTCATCCCATGCATGGGAACACTGTTTCTGTTATTACTCTATTTTTCAGGATAACCTAGAAAACTCTCAAATTTACTCTGATCAAAACACAAGTATGCTGTATAGTTTGTGCTTACAAAAAAAAAAAAAAAAAAAGGTAAAAGAGCGAGCTGAAGATGTTTAGGTCCTCTTAAACCACAAATTTTCCACACATTTAAAATATCAACCAGGAAGGTACCAAGAGCAATTGTCCTGATTTCTGTTAATTTCAGTCTTAAGAACCTTCCCCCAGAGTAACAAAACTGCTAGAATTTTAAGACATATCTGGAAATAATAAGAAATTATTCTGCAAAATCTCAAACCTTATTAATAAACTCCTTTAGTAAACCAGTCTATACACCAGAATCACATTATGTTTCCTCTTAAAGAGAGCTCCTGCCTGTAGCTGTCTCAATGACAGCACCCACAGTTCATATAAATCCGAAGAGCAGCACTGGCAAACAGTAATTGTTCAGCATGAAACGCAGAAATTTTTCACGAACAGAACCAAAAGCAGCAGGAAAAAATACACCCTTCAAGGACGTTAAGTTAGTAACGCAGATCAAAAGATAAAAGCAATGAAAGCAGTCCTAGCCAAAACCTCTGCACCACCCAAAACATTATAAATCACGCTAAGCCTTACTCAGTGTTTCTTTCTAATAATGAAGTACTCTATAACATACTCTTGTTAATGGGGAATAGGAAATGGTGGCTTTACATTATAATCTGCTGGCAGTGACAATGACATACTAGTGTTTGGGTCATTTTTAGGGGAAATTAATGATGTTAAGAGAACAAAACAGAAATAGGAAGAAAAAATGGTAAAAAGTTCATTTAAAGAAAGGCCATTTGCAGTGCTGGAATAAATAATCAAATCAATAAGAGAATCATCAAATCAATGAGAAATCAATTTTCCAGCTCTCCCCGATGAAGGAAATCCATATAAGGGAAAAAAATTAAAGCCGTTATCACTATAAAGTTGTTTCTTTTCCACGTCATTTTCTGAAATTAATACTTATATCAGTACTTTGTCACAGAATATTGGAGGAATGTCTTAGATAAAAAGTATCATATTAAAAAACCTGTTTGTACAGAGATTAACTTGAAGTAGAAAGAACATGAGGCAACTTCAGTGCAGTGCAATGAAGAATTTTTTTGGCAAATTATAATTGTAAAGGAAAGGAACAGAG